AGGGGGGGGATGGGTAAAGGTATAAACCTTTATAAAGTTATGAAATAAGTCATTCATGGGGATATAATGTACCACATGGTGACTATAGTCAATACTGTATTGCATATTTGAAAGTTGCTAAGAGTGTAGATGTTAAAATTCCTCATCACAAGAAAAAAATTTTTGTAACCACGTGTGGTGACAGATGTAACTAAACTTATTTTGGTGATCATTTCATGATATATACAAATATTGAATCATTATGTTGTACACTTGAAACTAATGTTATATATCAATTATACATACATACATACATACATACGTAAGTAAATAATAAATTGGTTTTTCACATGAGGTTTCTTTCTCTCTAGAATGAACTTTGGGTTGACTTTCAGGGCAGCGAAAGGCTGCTGGATGGTGAAGTTCAGCCAACAGTGCTCACATGGATCCATTGGGTTATTTGTGCCACCAAGTCCCCCCGTGGACCCTGAGAAGGTCAAAGAGTTACAGCGCTTCGTCACCCTTTCCAAGAGACTCCTAGTGATGACTGGGGCAGGAATCTCCACTGAGTCAGGGATCCCAGACTACAGGTCAGAAAAGGTGGGACTTTATGCACGCACTGACCGAAGGCCCATCCAGCACAGGGATTTTGTACGGAGTGCTTCAGTCCGCCAGCGGTACTGGGCAAGAAACTTTGTGGGCTGGCCTCAGTTCTCTTCTCATCAGCCCAATCCTGCACACTGGGCCTTGAGCAACTGGGAGAGACTCGGAAAGCTGTACTGGTTGGTGACCCAAAATGTGGATGCCTTGCACACCAAGGCGGGGAGTCAGCGCCTAACAGAGCTCCACGGATGCATGCACAGGTGCAGGAGTGCAAACGGTGTGAATGCAGAAATGTGTGCTCTGTAAGGGCAGCAATCCTTCATCACTGTTGTCATTAGATTCTGAGAAAATGATTTGGGAGCAAGCTGTTTAATTTGGAGTTGATCCCACCAAACTCGGTGAGGGATTGGGGAAGTGAAATGGGGAAGGGAGGAAAGCCAAAAAGGGTACGTTAATGAATTAGGGTTACCACTTTGGGCAGCCGGAGCCCAACAGAATGAAAGGCCCTCTGTCTAGAGCATGCTTCAGAATTCTCACTGAAAGGGAAGCTGGGATGTTTATCCACCATCTCCCATCCCTCACTGGTTAATTTCCAAGATCACTCTTGGGAATTAACTCCCTAACACTGGACCCTGCTCCTCCAGAGAAGGCTTCCTCTGCCACCGGAAGTTGCTTAAAAGAGAACTGTGTGCAGTGGCTTCTAGCTGTCCTGAGGGGACTATGAGCAGAGCACCAACAGCATATGCTGCAAACTGCTGAGTTTCTGGTGCCTAGACACATAGAACACAGTACAGCCAGGCATATAGTCAGAACCAGTAAGTCTTGCTGGAATGAGTACATGCAGCCCTGGCAATAACTTGTAGCCAATTGGAGACCCCTGCCTTATCTTTAACCCGAGATTCTCCTGCCAATTGTAAAATATTTATTGGGTGCCTACAATGTGTGGTGTGTACCCGTGTGCTACTTGGTGTGGAGGGATCAAAACCAAAGTATAAAAGTTGGTGTACTTTACATGTGAGAACTTTGTAATCTGCTTGGGGGAGACCCAAAAATAACATGTTTAACAGCAAATGACTCCACACATGACTGTTAAATTGTGTGGTCCCTGATAGACATGCTTTACAAGTTTAGAGAAGCAGATTTAGTAAAGATTGGAGAAATCGGGAAAGCTTTTATGGGTAAGGTGGGGCTTGAGACTGGCTCAGATTTGACTAGGCCAGGAGGGGAAAGAGAGGTTTCTATATGAAAGGAATGTGTAGAGCCCAGAAGAGGCTAGTGTGGCCTCTGGGGAGACTGGTATGAAATCAGATGCCTGGGAAGGCTAGACCCAACTCATGGGTGCATCTGAAAACCATGTGTTGCAATTTGGATCTGTTGTGAGACCAAAGGGGACTATTAGTGGTTTCTGAGCTAGAAAGCAACATGATAAAAATAACATTTGAGGAAGGCAAGACAGGATTAGAAAAGATTGGCTCAGGGTCAGCCTGAAGAACCCAGACTAAGGTGACGGCAGAGGGATCAGAAAACTAATGATGGCTGTGGGTTCATAAAAATAGTTGGGGATGAACCGTCTATGGCAATATGTGCCTCCCCAAGACAGAGCGTTCAGTCGGCCTCCTCTTTGGTTTCAGGGTCCTCTGCTTGGATTGTGGTGAACAGACTCCCCGTGGGGTGCTGCAGGAGCGTTTTGAAGTCCTGAACCCCACCTGGAGTGCTGAGGCCCATGGCCTGGCTCCTGATGGCGACGTGTTTCTCACAGAGGAGCAGGTGCAGAGCTTTCAGGTCCCCTCCTGTGCTCGATGTGGAGGCCCCCTGAAACCAGATGTAGTTTTCTTCGGGGACACAGTGAACCCCGACAAGGTTGACTTCGTGCATAGGCGCGTCAAAGAAGCCGACTCTCTCTTGGTGGTGGGATCGTCCTTACAGGTATCTGACTTGGTCAGGGTGGCAACTGCCTCTTTTGCGAGCCTCTCTGGGGCTCCCTATTTGGTTTATCTCTTCCTGCATTTAGAGATCTCTTATCTGTGCCTCCCATTCCTCCTACAGGTGTACTCCGGTTACAGGTTTATCCTCACTGCCCGGGAGAAGAAGTTACCGATCGCAATACTGAACATTGGGCCCACTCGGTCAGATAACTTGGCATGTCTGAAACTGGATTCTCGTTGTGGGGAGTTGCTGCCTTTAATAGACCCACGCTGACCACAGCCTATGTTCCTGAGCCAGAAGCTGACACTTCTGCTTGTATCCTGCTGCTAAAGGTAAATGCTTTCTCAGCTATCAGATTCCAGTTCCCATTCATCTGAGAGCACTGACAAAATACAGAAGGTTCTAGGCTTCTTAATGTGTGGCCATTCTGAATTTATTTTTTAATGTACATTCAGCTATATTGTTTGAATGACTATGATTTTGAAATGCTAGGCACACAGCTATCTATTTAAAACAATGTTCCAAAATCCACCATAACTTGTTTCTGTAAATGACAGCTTTTATTGAGGTATAATTCACATACCATACAGTTCATCCTTTAAAAGTATACAATTAAGTTGCTTTTAGTACATTCACAAAGTTGTACATTAATCACCACTATCTAATTTTAGAACCCTTAGCAGTCACTCCCCATCTCTTATGCCCCCCCCCTAGTTTCTGCCTAGTCTAGACATTTCATATAGTATATAGCCTTTTGTGTCTGGCTTCTCCACTTAATGTTTTCAAGGTTCATCCATACTTTATATCTATTTTAATCTGTGAGTACAACCACTTAAAAACATAAACAACTTTATTGAGAAATAATTCATATATCATACAGTTCAGTCACTTAATGTGTATAGTCGTTTTTAGTATATTCCTAGAAGAGTACAACCATTTTTTTTAATAGACTGTTTTTTAGAGCAGTTTTAGGTTCACAGAATTGAGCAAAAAGTTCCCTTATACTGCTTGCCCCATACACTCACATAGTATTATCATTCACCTACTAAAGTTCGTCTTGGTTGCTTCCAATTTTTTGTCAATTATAAATAAAGCTGCTATAAACATCCATGTGAAGGTTATTGTGTGGACATAAATTTTTAACTCATTTGGGTAAATACCAAGGAGACTGTTGGATTGAATGATAAAAGTATGCTTCTTTTGTAATAAACTGCCAAACTGTCTTCCAAAGTGGCTGTACCATTTGCATTGTCACCAGCAATGAATGAGAGTTCCACTTTTAACAACCAATTTTTGAAAACTGTTTTAATTGAACTATACATACAGAGAAGTGCACATATCCTAAGTGGGCAGCTTGATGAAGACCTACAGCATCTAGATCAAGGAACAGAACATCACTGGCACCCAAGAGGTCCCCATGGCACAAGCACTTTTTAACTAATTTCTTATTACTAGAAATAATACATATTTATTGTGGAAGTTTAGATGATGCAGATAAGTAAAAAGAATATAATCAAATTAGCCATAATCCCACCACTGAGATAACCAAAGTTTAACATCTGGTACAGTATAACTAAATCTGTTATTACAAATATTGCATCATTGTGTTTTATCATACCCTGTTATATAATGGCTGTATCTACATGTCCTAAATGCTATGATTTTTTGAATGGTGGGCTGATGTCCCCAATCATTCCCCTCCTCCCACTCTTGGCTTATTTTGGCATTAATTTGTTTCATTTCTTTTCAGATCCCTGAGCATTCATCCCTTCTTTTTTTAACTAATGGAAGCTCACTGAGTGCAGCCTGTAGAGGGCAGCAAACCAACATCTCGCTACCAGCCACTCTGAACTGGGCAGGTTTCAGAGCCAAGGAGTTAAAATCTTTAGGAGGATGAGATTTGCCCCTGAAAAAAGACTTTTTCTAAGCAGCAGCCTCTCCTGATAGGAAAACTGCGTTCACTTCCTTTTTATCTCACCAGGCAGAAGAAATGGCCCGAGAAATATGTAGGTCAGAATGGTCTCTGGAATACTAACCAACCCAGGGGTTTCACTAATGTGTATGTGGGCGTGGGGGGAGGTGGGGAGCAGGGAGTAATGCAAGAAGGAAATGACTTAATTTATAATTCTAAATGGTTAAATGTCTTTAACTGAACCATTCTGGTATATTCTTTTGAAAAGATGAACTATGCTATGAATGAATTTTTTATTAACCAAGGAATAAAGGAATCATTTTTAAAATAGCACACCAGGTATGTGGGCTGTACGTTTACATTTTTTAATCAGCTAAAAGCAAATGGGACTTTATGACATGGTTCTCTAAGGATTTCTGCTTCATTTCAGCCAGAATGAGACACCTGCCTTGAACCTGGTCTGTAGGGAGGAAACAGTGAATTCCCAAGCGGGATCTTAAATTGATTTGTTTCTGCCTGGGGAAAGCAGCAAGACTTGTTTGATTACTGCGCTAGCCAGAAAGAATCTTTGTACCAGGCTAAAGCTTTCCACACAATCTCATCAAAAAGTGAAGCGGATGGAAAAATCACAGCCTATTCTGGGTAGTCTATTGTCTACATTTAGGGCAAGCAATACACATTCATCCTGCACCTACCTAGGAAGCAGATTTCAGATAACTGGGATGACCCAAGATCTTGAAACACGGAGTTCTTTACACCTGCACACTGTAGGTTTGCCCATAGCCATTAATTAATTGTTTTTTTGCAGAAGTAGATCCTAAGGTATTCTGAACCAGATTTGCTCAATTATCCAGTCAGTACCGGTAATTGTATTCAATCTGGGTCTTTTGAATCTCAAGCCATCTTGCCCACAAATCCCATAAATGCTTGCTGACAGACACTCTATTAAGGTACTAAGGCTACAACCGCTTGTCCTCAACGGGCTCACGGAGAATGTGCTATTTCTCTCACCCTTGTTCTCTATGAAAATGACACAGAGCCATGCATGGATGACAGAAGGAGACAATTTAGTCTACTCTCCATTCCTTTTGGAGGAAATTAAGATCCAGACTTACCTAAGGCCAGGACATAGTTTCAGAGCCAGGACTAGAATCCAAGTAGATATCTCTCCCAGTTCCTTTTTTAAAAGATTTTTTTATTGATTTCTAGAGAGAGAGGGGAAGGGAGAAGAGAGAAATATCAATGTGAGAGCGAAGCATCAATCGAATGCCCCCTACTGGGGAATGCACCCGAAACCAGGAAATGTGCCCTGGCAGGAATAGAACCCGAGACCTTTCAGTGCACAACATGACACTCAACCAACTGAACCACACCGGCTGGGGCCCTCCCAGTTCTTTTCTTCTTAAGCAAACAATGCTTCTCATTTGAAGATTATGGTTAGAAAGAAGTCAGCCTGAAGTGGGAGCAGAAGCCAGCAGTACACCCGGCCAAGGAGACCAGGAATGGTTAAATGTGGGCAGTGGAAAGTTATGTGAGGTTGCCAGGAAGAGAAGGCAGGCTCTTTCATCACCTAGCATTGGCACAATTCATGAGACCAAGTCTTGAGGGCCTTAGGAATGTTCCTTTTGTTCATATTTCCTCCCGAGATGGAATTCTTTCCAAAAAATTTGTCTCAAGAGGAACTTGATATTTCCTGAAGCTGATGGTTCTCATGTCTCCTTACTTTACATCTTTAGCTTTCTACCAGCATGGCAGCTCCTAACCCACTATAAGAGCCCTCAGAATAACAAACATCTTCTAGTGAGCACTAGTTTGTCACGGCCCTGGTTACATGGTTCTGACTGCACGAGCCCAGCTTTGAACATGACTTTTGGTCAGACTCTCCCTCGGGGTTGCTTCCACGGTTCTGCTCTGGTCACAGTTTTAGTTAAGCAGGAGTCACAAAGGCAAACAGGTACATAACACTCCAAACCTCCTTCCCACTAACTCATTTTTTTTCTTATGCTGTCATAAATTGAGTATCTTTCTCTCACCTCTCCCTTAAACAGCAGCATTACTGAGCACCCTATGTCCCAAGCACCACATGAAGCATTTTACAACACATTAACTTGGTAACAACCTCACAAGAGATGCTCGGGTGTGAATAAAGGTCAGTCTTCATCGAACAATGAATTTTTCCTGAGGATCAAAGAAACTCAACACTCCTAGGTCAGGTGACCAACTGTCCCAGATTTGCCTGTACTGAGGGGTTTCCTGAGATGCAGGTCTTTCAAAGTGCTCAAACCAGGATGAGTTGGTCACCCTGCTGCTAGGAATGGCAGAGGTTGCCACCAGATTATTAGTTAATTCCAAACATACTATCCTTGTCAAGATTCAAAATGATGCTCTAAGATCCAGATTTATTTTTTTACACAAAAACAGGTAACTTCTACTTCACAAAAAGAAATTAAATGCATCCAAAAGAGGAGCTTTTTTCTCTCTCAACTTATTAGAAAGGAATATAGCATGAAACTGAAATTCTTAGGGTACAGACTTGGTTTTCCATCCGTTTCTTGCTACGTACTAGTTAGGTGAATGGGCAAGTTGTTTTATCTAACCTTCAGTCTTTTAATCAGTGGGGATAATTGTAGCTACCTCACTAGATTGTTATGAAGATTAAACAGGGTAATGATGCCTGTGAAGGGCGAAGCAGTGCCTGGCACACAGTAAACAAATGTGAGCCGCCGTAATTAGGATACGGGAGGAGGGCAGGATGGTGGAAAGAGAAGCCATCACACCTGACAAACCTTTGTGCCCTATTTTACTCCTTTAACGAGATTCACAGGAATCTTCCCCATTTCCTCTTTGTGTACCTGTTTGTTTGTAAATAATAGAAGTCTTGCTGGGTGTAATAAAGCCTTTCTAAAGAAAATGAAAAGCGTAGGTATCCCTTCTTCTCCATTCCCTTGAGAAAATAGTATCTGATTAAACATTTACTACACAGCACACGCTGCAGGAAGCGTATCACAACGCACTGATTCGCCTAATTCTTACAACCCTGTCTGTCTATGAACCTACGCACTACTGTCTCTTGTAAGATGACGACCCTGAAGTTCAGGTAACTTGCGCAAACGTCACGTAGGGTGCCCAGGTCCGTGCAGCTCCGGGCTCGCTCGCCCCCCCTTATGGACGCTCCAGGCACCCGGTGGGGGAACTCAGCACCTGGCCTTTGGGAGGGGGGAAGGGCAAGTCGCAAGAAACTTCCAGAAGTACCCAAGCCAGGGCCTGTAAAATGAATAGGCATTCACCAGGCGGGGGAGAGGGGGAGCGTCCCAAATGGACAAAACAAAAGTAAAAGCATGGAGGTCAAACCTGCAATTCCCGTCGCCTTTAAAAACAAAAACAAAAAACTCTTGAAGGTGGGGGTGGGGATTCAAGTGTGGCCTTGGGACGCCCCTGGCTCCGCCCCAAACCCACTCGCCTCTCTACCAGGCCCTTCCTTCTCGCCCCCTCGGTTCCCGGCACCCTACGTCCCCGGCACCCTACTTTCCCGGCACCCCACGTCCCCAGCACCCTACTTCCCCGGCCCCCTCCGGCCTTCCCCGGGGTAAAAGCGCTGAAGGCTTTACCAACCGGAAACACCGGGGGGAGCTGAGGTAGGAGGAGCGTGAGCACCGCGGGTGAGAAACCCAGAGAGGGTTGAGTACTTCGGGGAGGTTGGACCCAACGTCACACCCACGTGTGTTCGCCTTATTTTCACACTCAACCCGCCCACTCCGCCCTTCCGGGGCCTCACCTTGGGACGCCACCTCAAGGGAACATAAGCAACCACTGCGCCTGCGCGGGCTTGCGTTTTCCCCGCCCTCCCGAGAGAGGTGGGGCTTGAGCGTGGGAGGCGCGGGGATAGGCTGGCAGCTGGGCCTGTGTTCACCAATAGAAGAGAGGAACGGAGAGCCACGTGCTCACATGCTGCCCAATCATATTTTCTACTCCGAAATCGTCTCCAGCCCTGGAGGGCGTGGCTGGCGGATTGGCGGGGTTGAGCGCGGAGGATCACGTGATTCAAAAAGGTAAATACTGCCACGTGTGTGTCCCCCACCCCCGGACTGCGGCAAACCATTGCACCACACTGTGTCGTCATTAAACAATTATTTAACGAGCGTGTGAAATGTGCTAAGCACTGTGACTCCAATCTAATAATCTCGACTTCAAATTGCTTTCAGTCCACAGACGATAGCATGGGGAAGGCCTGATGTGGGGTGGGAGCTGGGTGAAAGGGGCAAAAAGGGAGAAAATGGGAGACATCTGTAATACTGTTGACAATAAAATAAAATTTTAAAAAATTATTCTCAGTCCAGTATATTTATTGACTCATTTAAATCATCCCACCCACTGTCCTAGTGTTTCCCGTATTCCATTAAAATGAGCATCTCCCAGCAGATGCTCACTTTAAAAGATTGTTACCTTTAACTTCTAATTTGTTCTCTCTCTCTCCCCTAACCCTTGGGATAATGAAAAAAAGGAAGGTTTTACGTCACAGGGTATTTTTAGAGCCCAACTTGAGTACTCAGGTGACTTTGTTCTCTCTGTTGTTTGTTTTGTTATCCAATAAAAAAGTTGGAATAAAGAAGTCTCTTAAAAAATCTTACCTTCCTTCCATCCAGACCGGGCGATGGGGGGCTTGCAGTTTTTTTCCATTGAATGGATAAATGAAATGAGGGAGAAACTGGGCTAAAAGACAAATCCACACACACTTTTTTGCTGCTCACCATACACCCAGCAGTCGCTACTGTTCTTTCAGCCTCCAGTGGTTTAAAACTGTTCAGTGGTGGCTTCTCATAGTCGGCATTGTCCTTTCTCATGTTTGCTTTTCTAATTCAGTTCTTTTCTCTTCCCCTCCCCACTCCGTCTGGTGAATTTCGGTGCCAGTGTAGTCATACATCCTAGTGGAGAAACTTGGCAGAACAACTTAGTGGTTAAGAGCTCAGGCATTGCCACCAGACAGATCTAGTCAAATCCTGAGTATGCCATTTGTGTGATCATGGGCAAGAGACTTCTCTAAGTTTATAGTTTCTCATCCATAAAATGGGGGCAATAATATCGACCTCACAGAGCTGGTTTGAATATTTAATGAGATGAGATGTGGAAAGCTCTTAGCACAGAGTAATATGCAGTAAATGCTCTAGAAGTAGAAGCTGTTATCATTTATTATATTTGATGACTGCAATGTAAAAATCAGCTTGTAGAGTGTGGTGAAGTCTTTGAAAGGCTTAGAAAAGAGTTGTAGGAAAAATGGTTTTCTATAGTTGGAAATGGAGGCAGAGAAATGAGAGGAGGAGAGACTGACTCAAACTGAAACAAGAGCTCACTGCTTCGGACAGGGTAGGGTAGTGGTTAAGAGTGTGTGTTCTGTTGGACTGACTGGGTTCAAATCCCTTCTTTGCTACTTATTAGATTCATAGTACTGGGAAAGTGGGCACTCCTATTGAACCTCAGCTTAGAAAAGTAGGATTTGCTAATAGTGTTAAAACCTCATAGGGCTGCCCAGAGAATTTTGAGACATACAGTCCTGGCACAGAGTAACTAATCAGTGGTTATTAACCCTTATTCAGGTTTCATGTTGCTCACTTCCTGGAAATATCCATGTAATTCAACTTCCAAGGCTGGAAGGAATGATGCTCACAAAGGATTAGGAAGAGACCTAGTCATGTTCAGTAGATAGAGAATAAAACAATCTCCAAACGTGAGGCCTTTCAACAAGGTGCTTTACTGGAGGGGACAGTGTAAGGTGAGAGACATAGGGATGATGCTTTACAGAGGCAATGCTGAGTCTTAACAGTACTTCTTGGTGTCCAGGTTCTTGTTCTCGTTGTTGTATGGGGCCTTTGAAAAGCAGATGGCAGCATTGCGGTCACAGTTGCAGATGAAGGCCTGGCAGGGTGTGTTTTTGCCTGGAAAAGAGCAAGAGGAGAGGACTGAGCCAAGGTGGATCCTGCTTTGTATAACCCAGGGGCAGGAAAAATTAACTGAAATCATTCACTGGCCATTCCATTGGTGCAAATTTAGGGTTGACAAGTTAAGCAATTAAAATACCAGAATTTCAGATAAACAATGAATGCAATTAGATTATAAAGTGCATTATTTAGCAAGTTATTGTAAATTAATATGAATAAACACCCTGCAATGTAGGCTTCTTGACCTGGTTGGGTGGGGAGGGCAGCTGCATTAAAAATAAATTATTTGCAAAAATGTGTGTGTGTGTGTGCGTGCGGGGGCGCGGCGTCCCGTGGGGAGAGGCTCCGCAGCTTTCATCAGACCTGTAAAGGAGTCTGGAATCCACAGCAAGGAAACCTTCCCAATCAAGTTGTAGTGCAAAAATATGGTTTTCCGCCTGGTTGGGCATGGCTCAGTGGTTGAGCATCAGCCTAGGATCCAGGAGATCATGGTTTGATTCCCGGTCAGGGCACATGCCCGGGTTGCGGGCTAGGCAGCCAATCAATGACTCTCTCGTCATTGGTGTTTCTATCTCTCTCTCTCCCTCGCCTTTCCTCTCTCTGGGTTCCAATGCTGGCCCATCACTCATACGCTGTGGATGTCGGGCAAGTGACTATTTTTGAGCCTCAGCTTCCTAACCTGTAAAATGGGCTTAATAAAACCTACCTCACACATGATCCTTACCTCGTACCTGGCATGCAACTAGAGCCTAATAAATTCTAGTGCCGAGCTCTTTTTATGGAATAATAAAACAGTATAACATGGCAATTAAGAACAGAGGCTTTGGAGTCCCACAGACCTGTGTTCAATAATCAAACACCACCATTTACGAGTTGTGTGTCCTTGGGCAAATGGCTCAGGCTTTTGAGCCTTAGTTTCCTCATCTGTAAGATGGGGATGATAATGGGTACAGTTCTTGGCACCAAGAAATTGATCAATAAATGATAGCTATTATTACTATTATGTTCCCTCCTGCCTACTGAGGGCCTAACAAGCCAACAAGAAGGTAAACATACTGCTGCAGGTGATCTCTGAGCCAGAGCATTTGTATGAGTAGCTTTTGGTGTAGGGGTTGTCCAGGAGGAATTTGCAGCTGTCCAGCTTCTTGGCTTGGTCGTAGCAGCGGTCGTGTGTCTGGCAGCACCTGGGGAGGGGGGAAGGAGACAGAGCTGAGGCAGAAGCAGGCGCTGGGGCAGTAGGTCAGCCTGAACCTGCTCTCTCAGGAACAGGTGGGGATATTTTAGCTGACAGGCTCCAGGAGATTTTGGTTTTGTGGCTTGAAGAAGTTTAAGTCCTTTTATCATGTTTATTGAAGGCGATTTTAGAACTGGTTGCAGGAATACAGAACGATCATATATTCTGGAGGTGACCATTGAGTCATTGCTGCGATGTTTTGTGTGGCAATGTCCTACCACTAGGGGACAGCAGCACCCATTACCTCACATCTTGGACATTCCGCTTCCCATCCCCAAGAGGGAACATTGGCTTCAGAGTCCTCTTGGAACATTTGTTTATATGACAAGAGGTGAAAATACGTTATCCTTAGCAAATATGCAAAGCCCCTTTCTGTGCCTCCTTGTGAGATCCTTGGCTGGTGCCCTCCCCTGACCCCACTGGCCCTCCGCTCTCCCTGCAGATCAATCACTCACTGGTCCAGTTCATCCACAGGGGTGCCGGATCCTCCCAGGCCACAGTAGCAGCCGTAGTTGTTGTAATCTTTCAAGGGGTCGCTGTCAGGAATCACGCACTTGATCATGTTGCGGAACTGCCACAGTGCCCGCGTGCTCACGCCGCCCTCTGCGGCACACACTGCAAGAAGACACAGCGGGAGTTCAAATCCGTCCTGGTTGGCTCTGCCAGCGCCCCAGGGGCCCCACTGCCTGCCTGCCCTCTCAGGCCCCACGCTGCCCCCCTGAGGAGCAGCCTCCATGTGGCAGCCAACTGAGGCCCTGCCCAGGAGCAGAGGCCTGGAGCCTACTCAGCCGGGGGTGGCCTGGCCATGATGGCCCATCTCCAGGCCCTGCTCCTGTTTCCCTATTTCTTTCTCTTTGATCCCATCAGCTCTGTCTTTGCAGAAGCCAGAACTGCATAAAGCCTCTGTGTATGTGTATGTGTATGTGTATGTGTATGTGTATGTGTATGTGTATGTGTATGTGTATGTGTATGTGTATGTGTATGTGTATGTGTGTGTTCCTCAGACAGGGAGCATGGCTCATTCATCTCAGTCCTCAGTCTCAACCCAGAGCCTGATACCTTCGTGGCTCCGATACCATCAAAATGGAATAAATAAGTGAACGATGGATGAATGAGGTGGGATTTGAATTCCAATGTATCTGACCCCATTCATTCAATCAGTGGTGCAAACAGCACTATCTCTGCTCTCATGGAGCCCGTGGGGGGTGGG